CTAGACAGCAATCAATTGCATTTATGGATAACTAGAATTTACCAATGAAAACAAGGCCAACTGTAAAATGACCTGCAAGCAGACTGAACTAAATCTCACTGATCCACGGATAATTACGACAACACACTGTATCACGTGTAATCTCAACTGTTTAGGGTTATTCTACATTACTTCAAACATCGTGCGGACATTTGGTGTCTCTACAATAGCTTCTGCCGCCATGGAAAGAAGACATATCGACCCAAAGCTTCCCGATGCCTCCTACCAGGCTGTAGATTTTCACTAATACCAGCCCATTTTGCTCGATAATAATGATCAGCTAGCTGGTCAGAATCGATAAGTAACAAGGAATTCTGGCGACTAACAAACCAAGAAGCTGTTGCCTAATCATGAAATATGCACAATGAAATGAATAGGACTCACGCCGAGAAGACCGTTAAGTAGTAACATCATACACCTGACAGGTCCCTTCCTCTCCCCGACAGCAGCCCTAATCTCAAACAAGCTCGGAGTCAGTTTAACGGTGACACGGAGGTCACATGAAAGATAAATGAAAGTTTATGGGTGATCCTTGAACCAGATTAAATAAGACCGCAGAGAACAGAGTAAGATAACGAATTCGTTTAATTCATTCATCCACTTAACTATCCAACTGAAATACAGTGAAACTAGAAAATTGTTCAACGCAACTGTGTATGTTTGATAATAATAATAATAACAACTATCGTAAAATTATATTTAGAAGGAGAGATAAAAAATGGTTACCAACAGGTGGCTGATTACCTGATTAACATAAATTTAAAATAAACTGAACAGGTGACAAGAAGACATCACTTCGTGTGTGTGTGTGTGTGCGTGTAGGTGTGTGTATGAGTGTTCTAATGAGCTTCATATTACTATCTCCTCATGTGTCTGCAGAACTGATTCAAACAAAAAGAACACTGAATCAATTCAAATAGGGATTACACTCAACCTGACTGGTTTTCGTTACGTCCAGTAAACAGCACAAAATAATGACTACACCTATCATTAATGAAAAGACTGATTAGCAGAGATAGTGAAGCAGAGAAGTATCTCTTTGCACTAAACTTCCTTTTCGAGCTAAACTGAAAAAAGACAAAATTTCCAGTATACAACTTCCTACAAACATGCAACAGTTCAACTTACTATAATTCTTAGACTTACACATCAAGGTAGGAAAACCAACTGGATCTTAGTGTTTCAACTAACCCATCCATCCCAGGCACCCTACGCCTCAATTAAACCAACAATCAGTCAAAGATGTCATGGATTAATATAATGTTCTGGTCTGATAACCCCTAACTTTTTCCAACCTTACCCAATGTCGACTAAAATTGCTCGACGAGAAAGGCGACTATTTGTCAGAAATAACATAGGTCCTAACCATTTCGACCAACGAATTTTCACAATCTCATTCCTTCCTTTCTTTACCTAATCATCATTTTCACTCCTAGAGGAACGTATGGCTTCAAGATTTCAGGTTCTCGAGGCGATGGTGTTCTTTTCACAGGGTGAGGGTACAGGCCTCAGGTCTAACTATCCTCCATTTCCACAGTTAAGACTGGTTAATAAACCAGGTGAGGTTTATCACTGCATCGGAAGAATATCGAACCCAGATCACGTGCATAGTGAGCCACCATTCTATCTTGAACCGCCGATGCACAAACTCATATATTATACCACCTAACAAGACGGATACAACACATTCATATTATAGCATTGATCGATGGTCCGTTGTCCCTACCGTGGCCATCATGAAAACTCAGTCCCACCAATAATGATTACCCCATTATCTTTCTTATACAACCTTCCTATTATTTCTACGCTTTTAATTCCTATCTCCACTACTAGATTTGGTTGCCACTTTTATTTTCGAATGTATCCGAACTTCCTACCTATTTTGTTATTACTACGTCCGTAATCCGTAATTTGTACAAACAGACAACTTTTCCAGTAATCACGATCTTATTATGTCTCCACTACACTTTGTAATCTTATTCACTTCACCTTTGACCTGAAATATCTCTAGAATAGTACTACTACCTATCTGCCTTTCTTACTATATTCTGTATCCGATCTTCCAGTTTATTACACTTTGTAATTTTATTAAATCAACCTTTGACCGGAAATAATTCTGGAACTTTCACACACACGTACCATAGATACACGAATGTACAGCCTAGTTGACGACTTCGTTGAAAAGAAAATTTTATTCTCTGTAACCGTCTTTTTGATAATTCCCATGATCCAATGTGAATATTCCGTGATCGAAAAATTGCAATACCTGTGTAACGTGTAACACGCCATATCACGGTATCGAAGTGAAAAATACAGACGCGAAAAAATTCATGAGGTGAAAACAATGGTATCGATCACCGTAGAGAATCATAGGTATATATATACATCTACATATCATATGAAATTCGGTTTATCAGACGTCCTAAGCACGAAAAATAGGGCAGTATCAGCATGGAGCTGGCAATTCTAACAAAGAATACCAGCCAAGGGAAACAGAAACTCCAAAACACAAAAAATAAGACAAAAATTAATTATTCCCCGGAATCAAAGAGACGAAATAACACCGGTTGATGAACGCCTCCACGAAGACTGTCATTTGATGTGTGTTCTTTCAATGAAACTGAAAATAAGCACGTAGACATGCAATGTTCAAAACTCAGAAGGCTGCTCAGATTGCCACAGAAATGATAAGATATGGCAGAGAAGTGCTCGGAATCCGTGACAGAAGATAGAATGGAAACGGACTTTACAAATTTTCAACTAGACAGTCATCAATATACTCCGATCATCCAGACAACAAACACGGGCACACTCAGATAGTAGCTGTCATGATGGCACTCATAGCAACCAAAGTCTTATACAGTGGAAACCAATCTCATCCAGGATAATGACAGCAAGATTCAACTCAGATCTCCGGCCAGAATCGATAAGTAACAAGGAATTCTGGTGACTAACAAACCAAGAAGCTACTGCCTAAGTATGAAATGTGCAAAGTGATATGAAGGTAGGTTAAACACACTGAGAAGACCGTTGAGCAACTTAGTACGCCTGAAACGACTGCGACTGAAACCTGAACAGGAATGGCGAGTTGTGGGTTCGAGAGTGAGGTGATGAGAGATTGTGGGAAATCGTGGAGCTAATTGAAGAAACATGCAGAAAACGGGATCAAATGATGTGCAACTGAAGCCCTAGGTTCAAATCGGATACAAAAGGAAAAATGATCGGAATAATTTGATAACTTGGCAAAGCCCTGCGCAAAAGCAGGCCGGGCGGTTAGAAAGGGTAGCATTATCTCCATAATCCCCTTCAAAGAGGACATGAACGATATTCTAAAGTCATTTCTCTGGAGAATATATATCACGGTAGCATAGACCTAAGCAATCTAGAAAACATTTATTTTTGACAGTGAGTGCAGATCGAGCAGCTCCACTGTGCAACAACATTCTCACTATATAAGCAATACTCAACAACCATTCACGTTGACGTGACGTATATAAACGGCCACAGCGATCATGTGAGAACAATCTTCAAAACTGTGATCCATTTGTTGAAAAATTCATATGAACTCACTACCTACTTGTCATCATTGAAGTGGAAAGTCATTTCAGGAAATTGACAGCAGTTGAAACAATTTTTTCATGGAAACTGGGTCTCAATAATCTTCATGTCATGTATACGACAGTGGTATGCACGAATCTTTATCATGTTCGATATCATCACGACATCAATAAAAGTTAGAACACACAATTTTTCGGTGAGTACACATCTGGCCTGCGAAATATGATGCTTTAGAGCTGAGCATATTGAAACAACTCCGTCTGCTTCATCACTGCTGTCTTCATAAGACTTCTCGAACTTAATAGTGGTATGGGGATGCATTCAATATGTGACGTCCAATATGTGAGTGAGGTCATCAGGAGACACTTACTTCAATGGCTTAGGCATACCAAAGATCAACCATCCTCCCATCTACCACACAGTTCAATTTCTCATAGGACAACAACTAATGCAACAACACAAAGAGGTGAGCAGTTCGCGAAGTGGCAGTTCGCTCCTCAAGATGACTGTGTTGCATTATTACATGATTTGAGATCATGTTGCAGCAGTCATGTTTCTTCCACCATTCAACGCAATACAAATAAAGCCTCCTCAACTGAACTTTATGCGAATACCAATCTGATTGTTCCTTTGCCATCAGATAAATACATGAAAGTATCATTTTTCATCTATTCTTAAATCATTCGCATACCGAATGTTATTAACTGCTCACTCAGTACCCAAATGAGGATGTTAAGAATCTACGGTTGGTGACAAGATCCACAATCACATAGATACACATTCACTCCTTGTAATCATCCAAAATCAATAGGATAGTCACTCACCTACTAATCTTCATCAAATCAATCTCTCACATCATCTACTTCACTTCATAGACTTTTCACTCACTCCCAATATGAAATAAGAAACCAACCACCTCGATTACCATTCTATTTAACTGACAGGTTATGTGGAAGTCATCTAACAGCACACAAATGGTTATTGAAGATCAGTAGTGCCAGTCTACAAGCACTTCTTCGACTACTTATGCCGCCAGAAGATAAGAGGCAATAGCGCAATACTTCTACCGCTTTCACTGCAAAGCACCTCTCTCTATGCAAATGTCACTTATAACATAGAATGGTAAACAGTCGAATAGGTAGGTAGGTAGGTAGGTAGGCAGGCACCCAGGCAAGGGTTATTCATACACCCTAGTACCACATAAGAACTGATCTTGTTGCTGACGGAATATGGAAAGATGAAAAGTGCTGCTCTATAGTCACAGAGACCTTAACATTTGTAGAATCAGATGATTAAGGCATGCACATAAAACACACGATCAGTTACACTAAAAATCTATTAAATAATCTCTAACAGATAGAAAAACAATCAAACAGAGACATTGAATGAGTGAGGTGAATTCGATAATCACACAGAATCACTGGTTGTCATTAGGCAACATTGAAAATTGTTAATTAAGAGAATAAAACAAAAAAGCGCAGCAAAAGGTTCACAAAGAAAGACAGAGAAAAGAGAGTTGATGCACCAAGAAAAGATGGATACATCTACTTCAGATTGTAGTTCACTTAACCAATTGACAGTTGACTAATACTTGACGCTTTACGTTTAACTAGTGAGTAAAATTTAGAACTCAGCAATTGACGAACATCTGCTTCAGCCAATGATGCCGTAGCTGAAAGTGACTTACGACTTGTACAGACAGTCGGTGAGGAAGAATGATATCCATGTGGCAAAGAATGAAATTCACGCTGATGACTAGGTGATGTTGGATATATATCAGAGGAATTCGACAGAGAACGACGAAGATTTCTACTTAAACGTTTGCTAAACGATGATATGCTGTATTTCCTCGACTTTCCTTCTTCGCCTTCCTTCTTCAACAAAGATGATGTCGTTGCAGGTGGTGGTGGTGGTGCAGGTAGTAACGACAGAAGTAATTGTAGTCTACGATCTGATGACTGATTTGAACTTTTCGAATTCTAAGATTAAACAACAACAACAACAGAAAACAAATGATGACTCATAATGAAGATAAAAAAACAGCTGACCATCAATAGGACAAAAAGAAAAATGGCAATTTTGAATCTTAATAACTCAATATGGAAATAGTCATCTTTGAGTACATCTTATCATCATATTCACTATGAGTTCACTCTACAGAATGTGGTTGAAGGCAATCACTACACGGTAAACAAAATGTATACTGAAACGACAGTGATCTGGAAAATACAATTTACATGAACCACACTAACAGAATGTCACTGTGTCCACTGTACAACATGAAGACCTTCGGAATATAAACAGATGAGCTCGTCAGCGGTTGAACCGCTGAAGTTCACACCTCAAATGCATAGGCAGTTTACAGTGATTCTCCAGATAACATCAACGTATAATGAAATCTACCTGACAAAATAGACACACTAGCATCTCTTCCAGTCACACACATACAATTCGATTGCGGATGTCAATATTAGGGTGAATGAGGTGGGCGAATTGTGAAGTCGTGGGGATACACTGATATGACCATGAACAACATATTGTGCTAGAAATGTCAGCCAGTTTTTAGCCGTTTATCACTGTGTGTTATACACTCATCTTACATACTAAATGACTTCAACAATGAATTGTTTCCAAGTTTAAATTAACTGAAAAATCATTTTATAACACATCCACCGTACTCAATGTATTAACAGTGTTCATTGCCTGGCTGGCTTTACGACTTCAAATGTAACAGTCACTTCAATCATTCCTGACTTTGAAACCCGTTTCCACTCACTACAGCCTCAATGGCTGGCTGGTAGGCTGACTCACTAGTGTCCGCACAACAAGTGTTCCACATAGCCAGATGTACATGAAAAATTCGCTGTCAGGATTCTGAATCAAAACCTTCTTAATTTCAGTTAACCATCCACAGGACAGGACGACTCCATTATTCTCCAGCGTGAATGGAGGATTACGAGATGTACCTGACAAATTTCGACTGCACAACACAACCGCCGCTTAGTGAATGAGTGTTAACCACCTAAAGGCATCGAATAGGCGTTCATACTACGAGCTGGTAAGGCGACTTACATCGAACTATTTATTCATCAACACAGTAAAATCCACTAATGGAAGCTTCAAAAAGCTATTTTAACACCACACAACTTGATCAGACGTTCCAGTCAACAAGATTCATTTCACAGTAAATTAGCGTGTTAAAAGTGTCAATCCGAGTTAGAAGTAGGACACTGATACTCTCAGTAAGTAATTACGACTATAGTTGTCTCACGTGTATCAGATGTCTTCTACAAACAGTCTCATTCTATTTCATCGAGAAATACCACCCACTTTTCCATCGTAACCTCCAATCAAACAAATTCAACTTCAATTAGGCTTTACTGATTTTACACCATGGGATCTGGATTAATTTCCTACAAATTCGCTTTAACTGTAGTCATGTAGCGGATACACACACCTGATGAAATATTACGGATTCATCTTATTCTACAAAGGAAATCCACTCTCTTTCCACATTCTCTTCAGTAACACAATATCCTTTGGTTCACTAGCAATCCAGTGATGAAGCTGAGCTAATACAACTGACACTGAAAAGCTTCCCACAAAAGAAACATCCCTACTCACAGAACACTCACATCAATATAAGTCAAATTCATTCTCTCCCATCTAAACTTCAAGGCTCTCGTTAGCTCCTAATAAATTTTGATGCATCAATTCAACGGAATAAAATCAGTCATAGTGAAATACCCATTCGAACAAACTTACGTTACTTACAGGGGTGGACGACCGATAGTCAATTGTATACGATTTTCGGGAAGGAAAATTCATCACTGACAAATCACACTCAGATGAACCAGAAGAATCCAATGATCCTACATCACAACTTGCACTGCTATCATTCAGTCTCCAACTGGGCAGTTTTTGACGTTCGTATCTCAATGAAATCATAGAATCTAAGCGTTGAACTAGACGAGCGTGTGCGTCGTTGGACGAAGAACTACTGTTGGGAGCACTTTCATTTGGGCTATCCTTGTGCTGTTCCTGTCCGTCACTTTCCCTCTCTGACACACTCTTCGTAGGACTGCATGATGGACTCCAATTCTGTGCAGCATCAACAGCTGATTTTAGGATATCTACGAAAACTGAAGGACGTCGACGAACCGTCACAGCCCCATTTTGATTTAATGGTTTCAGTGTTGAAGTTCGATTTAAACTGCTGTGTGTAGGCGAGAATGAGGAAATATCTCCTTTAAAGCTCTCTATGCGTCTAGACCTAATGGGTGGACGAGTTGGACATTTGAACTCAACAGACGACTGCTCAGCAGAATCATTTTTCTTGTTGCAACTATTTGTAGGAATACTCGCGCAATCTCCAGCCACAGGTTTCCGCTTCAATATATTCACTTGAAACACAAAACAAACCTTACACATAATCAAGTTAACATTTAAATTAACATGCAGAAGTTACAATGCACACAAATGACAGTGAGAGTCAATCATCAGACAACAATTGGGTAGATATTACTGTATCATTGGCTATCAGTCGATCAACTATAGCACAATCAATACACGACATCACACAATCAATTCACTGACCGACCGACCGACTGAGTTTCCTACATACAACTTTGCACAAAAGTGTAGGATTTCAAGTTGACACATTTCATTTGGCCAACAAACACAGGGAAAAAGAAAAAATTCTAAAGAGCTACAGTCAGTGGAAATCGACAGGAGAAACAACAAGTACATGGAGAGACACGAGGACCAAATGGGTTCGGAAGACCACCAAAAGTGAATGAATCTGAGATATGGAACAATTTTGAGGTGTATCCCCAACAGTTTCAAACTATCAAGTTTTACAATTCCCACGTCCCGCACTCCCAACCCAAACCCAAACCCCCTTCGTCGATAAACCAACAGTCTAAGAATTCATGTAATAACGACATGTTTCAATTTAACCATCCCAACATAATCCTCTATCACCTAACATTCCACGACGAGTAAAGTGAAGGCCCGTTATGCATAAAAAGTGCCCTGGCCATCACAATCAACTCAGCTTCACAACCTCATAAACTGATTCTCCCACCTTCACGCTGCAAGTATAACTTTAATATTTACCCACCATATTTCATATCACTAAAAATGACAAAAAGAACGCAAACATTTGTGATTGAAGGAAGCTAACCTCTTCATCCATTCCACATCTCACTCCTATGTCTCACAGCGATGAGGAAGGACAGAGTGCACTGCTGCATATACACACAGCATTTCATTGATGGCCAATCATCACGTTTACACAAGAGACTAAGTAAATTGAGTTCTTGCTGAAATTTAGTCATCCATCAGTCCATTACAGCTGATAAGACTTCCCAAATAAGTCAAGTGGTTAGCACACTCCACCGCTTTACTCTTCATCTTGAAACTAGGAGTCGTAGCAAATAACTGCCGCACTATCATCTTACATACGACAGGCGAATCACATGTTAAACATGGCACAACTTTGGCTTAGAGTAGTTAAAAGACAGCATTTTGCCCATATCTTCACCCAGGAGGCAAATATCATCCACATACCCTACGTCGACGAGACTCTTCCCTAATTCGCTGTAGTCAGTAGATTAGATTCACATCCGTTAGTACGTCCATGATGAAATTATACAAAATGGAGACACAGAGCACCTCATTTCAGATGAAATCTACCCGTCAGCTCTATCACGACTAAGTGAGTTCGAGTAGAATAGCTTTATAAGTGCGATACTCTCTCCACGGTTAAACATTGCTACGGCGCCGCTCAGTCAACGAAGTCAAATGCTTGATCCCTGGAGGTCACGAAAGATGCCGAGTGTTGGGTACCGGCAAGTATGTCTATTGTCAAGAGTCTACCAAGGACTGACACTGTCATTAGTGTACTTCCTTACAACCTAAGGGCCTGGTCACTTTTCACTGGTTTGCATCTCTCGAACGCCAAGCGGTCTACGCGTGACTACTCAACCAAAAGATTTACATACTATGTTAGTCTAGCTAATCCCTGTACAACTATCACAGGACAACCTGTCTCCATTTTGATAAACAAGGATAATCAATGAAGTCGTTGACTAGTTAGTACTGGTCTGAACAATGTGGGGGGGGGCAGCTTTATCACTTAACTGAGGAAATCATGCTTGTACAATCTTAATCACACAACTGAAATCCGTTCACCATGGCACCAACACATCTACACTCTACCATTTACAAAATCCTCAACATACACTCCCTAACTTCCATCTAACATTTTTGCACTCTCCTGCAAATCTCAGTTGCTCACTGCGACATATCGCAGTCCCAGCTCTGTACTTTCTACTCGGAGGAAAGACTTCAGTGTTTCAAAATAGCTCAACAAGGATCAAAACTATTTCTGTAAAGTTTCATCTTCGTCTACTCGAGTAAAAATCCTTCCAGATTTCGTCTTCAACTGTCTGAATAATAAGTCAATACAACAAAACACAAATCCAGTGAATGCATGTCCTCAGTATTCACCAATGTCATAGATTTGAAAATAAAGCAATGCTCTTCACAACGATATTGTAAACGCTTATAAATACTCACGGTGCATACAGTGTCCTTTTCGGAGAGTTTTCATAATGTCATCAAACTACAGAAAAGACTCCTCACTTTTTTCTTAAACAGATACTTCAATAGAATAACGAAAGCAGTCCTTATATCAAAGGATACAATAAATGTGATAGCTACTGGCCATATGACCAGCGCAGAGCATACAATTCAGACATTGGCGAACTCAACAGAATCATGCTCAACGTAGGTTCACTTTCAGGCATAATCTGTCAAGTATCTTAAACGGCAAACTCACGAAATCTGCTTCCGGTAACAGATCCGATTGTAACATCGGAAGGCAAGACACGGAAGTCAAGGTATATTTCCAACTGATCAAACAGCTACTCAGGTCTGTGCAGTTTATATTCTTTCAAACCAGTAACTGAGCGTGTGATATTGGTTTACGTTAAACGACATGAAATATAATGTTAAAACACATTAAGTATTCTGTTGCTAACGCAGTGTCCAACTGTGGGAATATGTGAGAATAACATTCCGTTGGAACACATTGTGTGTATCACACCACCACACTATTATCTTCATACTTTCAGTGTATGTTACATTAGTCAACTTGCAAATAATCAATTCATACAAGAGTTTGGAAGCTCATAGACAGTACCTTGTCCCTGACCCTGAATATGTGCTGCATGCACAACATGTCAACAACATTGGCATGTTATATGAAGTAATCCACGGTGACTGGGGTGGTGTGTATTACATACGATCCACAGAAATTCTGCACAAATCAAAGCAAAGACTTTGTACAGTTTCACAAAAATCTACTTGTTTTTATTTATCCGCACTAAGATGTGACCACTCAAGACAGTAACAGTAAACCACAATTGCAGATTGAGCATAACTATGTCAGAACACTTTTTTAGTAAAGATATGTTTACTAACGGAATAGTGAATTGGACACATGGAGACCCACTGGATAAGGGAATGGAACAAAGTAACGAGTTCAGTTTAGAAACAAAATACATTGATTACTCAAAGAATCATCACACTCGTCGGTGATATTTCCATTCAGTTGGTCTCTTAATCTATCAATCATAATTCAGTTTTGGCATCAGCATGAACGATTTCACTTATATTACTGTTATGAGTATCAGAAAAAAACATTACTGACACAACTAGAAAGACAAAAGTAAACTCCTGCCTCCAATCAACAACGCTCATTGTGTGATACTACTTAGTTGTTCAGACGAAAACCAACACCGCGGTATTCGATTCGTAATCATCATGCCTTCCAGATACTTCACAAACTTTGAACAGTAAATTCTCATTGATACACACACACACACACACACACTGTAACACCAACAACTTGACCATGTGTATTCAACCTCTTAATCAAATTTTGCACCACTTTTGTGACTAGGATATATGAAAAGAGAATGACAAGTAGTCCATTCAAGTGTCTCTTTTCCATGAGCTCATTCATTCACAGTGATCGATGTAGTCACCTACCAGCTCACGACATACTGATAGAAAGTCAGTCAATTGCATCAACTAATCGATCCTGTACAAAATCTAGGCCAACAGGGACAGGTGTACTGTCCACTATCAAAACTATCTCATTCACCCAAGTACACCAGATATTCTGATGAACAGTTTCACAACAAAAAGAAAATCAATTCGAAATTAACACTTTAAACGATTAAAAGGTGAACAACTCACATGCTGATCGGATGCGTTGTAATTGACCATAAGTTAAAATAGCTGAACACAAAATAAAACACAATCATTAAGTAACAACACACACTGTAAACGAAGAAGAAGAATGTTTAAACAAAAGAATACAAATCATCATATGGCATGCATGCATACATACATAACGAGAATGAATGTCATCACTACGAAGGGGGGAAACAAACCCAGATACACACCAGACTGTCGTCTAGATGACTGCAAAGAGGGAACAGAATCCTATGAATCCATATATTCCTGCATGACAACTAACTGGCTATCAATCAATCGTCAGCAACAGCAAGAACAGCACCAGTAAACATTTTCACAAAGCCTATTTGTATAGACAAATTCGAAACAGTATCTCTCTGCACTGTAACAGCACAAAACGACATCCATCCTCACGCTTACATTATTCTTATGCACGAACTGAATTTCCAAAGAACTACTCTGCACAATAATGCACCACTTCAACTTGACATACTTCACAAATGTACAGAAAAGCGTAGAAAAGAAACGCTTTTGAGCCATACAATAAGGAGATTCAAAGATATGACACAACCGAAAGGAAACTCAAAGTTAAGCCGAACATACTGATGGAATACCATCTATGATGCTTTAGCTGACTATAAATCATATTAGCTTGAATACGTCAATTATTGGATGCCTCATGGGTTAGCGTTAGCTAAAACTATCACCACCAGGGAATAGGAGAAGCATGTATCAACCACTTCATCAACTGACATAAGGACCTACTTAGACAACACATTTGTAACGATTCGTGTAACGATTCCATTTCAAACAGCAATCTCCGCTGAAAACATGCGACATTTACTACGCCTACCTACCTCCTCACAAACAACACCACCCATCAATCGAACTGAATAGAAAATGAAACTGTATAGTAGAGATCTCAAGAGCAGTAAGTCAGTCAGAACAAATCCACTCTACTCATATAGCTTTAATAAAGGTACATACAACAGAAATCTTCTAATCTTCACGTATTTCTCGAATTCACTAACCATAACCCAAATATCGATAAGCTACATCATAGTGCATACTCTATTGCATAGGTGATCCGATATTATGTCGTTTACTAGACTTCGTCACCCACTACTGCTCAAATATCACTGACAAGAATTTCTGTCAGCCTGCCTTTAAGAAGCTTCCGTTTCACTTCTACCACGAACAGTGTCACACATACACGCACACACACGCGTCCGTTGAGATTAACGCTCCAAAAATCCATTAGATGATGACACAATTATCACAATCTCTTTTCTTCAAATAAGGGTGCTATTGAATTCACTTCAGATACACAGCTTGTGTTTTGTAGATTAACATTGTGCACTCAACCTTCGATTAAAAAGACTATGGAGTTGGTGAGTAAAAACGATGTCGCTGACTCAAGTTATGCCAAAACACGACCATTCATTCGCGTTTTACCACACATTTACTATACACTCATTAAATTACCTTATTCCTTGCTGTGGATATAATACTCACTGACAAAACAGTCTTCTACAAGACAAGATGCTGTCGTCATTCACCTAATAATTCTGCAGTTACGTCAGAATGACAACATTACTGTTTCATTCTCTAGACACAGTAACCTCGTCGTCTACGAGTAAACACAAACAAACCTCGTTGAAGAAAAGTTATTCTCACTACTCTCTAGCTAGACTCATGTAGACCATCACTATCCCACCTTTCTATACAGTACTTAAAAGAATTTAATCCTGAAGTTGATAAGGTGCAAACAGAACTCTCTCCCTCTCTCTTCTGTCAATGACAGTCCATTTCTACAAAATCAGGCAAACATTGATTGCATTTGGTATTCTCTTCAATAGAAACAACACTGAACAAAAAATATAAGAAACTCAGAAGTGAGACAAAATTAACGGAAAATTAACTGTGAAATACAACAAAGAAAGAGTTGATCTTTTATAACAAGGTGGATGGATTCACACAGGCAACAGAAAAAGAAAAAAACAGTGAGGGAAGTAAACTAAACTGGAACGATGGAAACAAAATACCATTGACTGTGTCGCTCTCTCAATCTCTAACTTCCTCACAGCCTCTACTTATCTACATCTTAACTGCTTCCATCTTATTATCATTATTATAATATCATTATTATTATTAATATTACAGTTACTTAATAAACATACACGTGCACACACACATACAGACACAATCTCTGAGTTTGCTATGCTGGAAGTTAAAATACGTAAATAGACAAGTTAAACATCATAGAAACACAGAAACAAGTATACGCCAATATCTTGTGCATACACTGACACTCAGGCACACACACAAATACATACATAAAAGGAAGTAGGAACAACAAAGAGAGAATAATGTTGTAATAATAGTTCCACAGTTGAATTGTCACACTTGACTTGGCCAACCCAGTCAGTCAAGTGTAACACGCATAACTAACGCAGTTCACTGACTAACTATGTATGCATAAATAACGACAACAGCCACAGGCGGCAAACTTTGGACAGAAAACTAATATTAACTGATTTTTACAAACAGAATAACTCAACAGTTTCCTCCTTCTCAATCCACCCCAACCCACCCCTACACAGACACACGCACACACACACGCAAACACACTGAGGCACTGGTGACTATCTCATATACTCTCACGGACAAAATAACCTTAGCAACGAGAAGTAGTCAAGTAACAAAACGGACAGGAAAACAATGCACCTTACGCACAAGCTACAAAACAAAACAATCACTTATTTTATTTTCTAAGATAAAAACAAAAACATTATCACCTCTTTCCTCTTATTTCACTTACCGAAAACAGTCAGATACATTACAAAAGAAACAAAGGAGAGAAAAGGAACAATGCAAAAGGGGACAGAAATAGCAACGCAATGACGATCATTAAAAATAGAAAACTTATAATCAAAAATTTAACGGGATCGGCATTTCATCATGAGCTCACATCGACCAGAGAACCATTGGAAAACCAGCTGAGAGTACGAGACAGCTGTTTCCGTTCTCCTAGTTTGAGACTATTCAGCAGTATGCACCCACTGCCACGGTTCCAACCAAGAACCGTCCGGATACAAGGCAAGCGGCCTCGTGGACCATTCTGCCATTGAGAACCGACCCAATAGCCAACCCATGAATTCCAACTTCTGCCGACTAACGATGTAGCACAACTACTAACTAAATAGCCAATGTCATCAGTGGCGAGCATTTCTCCTCACAACCGACAATGATAAAGCCAAGATCGACTGGTTGACTGACCTAATACTAGTTCCCACTGAAAACAACAGACACTAGGCTACGAGCTGGAAACTCTCCCACCAACCATGAATTTCCATTCATCCCAGTTAGCAGTAAAATGGGACTCGCCCTAACATATTAAACAGAACAGAGAAATGCTGATAAACCATTGCTAGGGGTTATAACAAAGAAAATACAACTCACTCCTCGGTTCCTAATATAACAGGAAATATGAATACAGCATAGTTGGTAATCTAACGGTCCGAGTTTATTTATACACAGTGGGATGAGAACTTCGAGAAGGGAGAGTGAGAATAAACGCAAATGGTCAGTAAACGTAACATCATTATGCAAAACAATCAACTAAGTGGAAAATTAGGAGATCAATAATCACTTCGGCTCAGTGAGTTGTATTCCAAAAGACTGTGAACAAACAAAAACACAGAATAGATACATCTAGTTAACAGGGTAGTGCGCGATTGACAACACAATCTTTCTGTATACACAGATCAGGTTGAAATCGTCTGATACCAATGGTGTCTTGTGAGCGAAGTAGTCAGGGAGGATCAGTGAAGGATGAACTGATTTCGAGTGAATATCCTACACGTTAACAAGGTGATTGGCTGTCGCACTTGCAAATATTTTATCACTTTTCATATGAAGATTGTTGCCTTCAAACTAATCAACGGGACTGATTGTGTGACACACGGATACTAACTCGGACTAAGATAAAAACGACAACACCACCACCTACAACAACAACAATGATCCCCCTCCCTAATGATTCAAGGATGTCACCAGTCGGTTGTACTGGTCCAATGCGGAGACCGTCAGACACCACAGTCAAATAGTATAATCTCTACACAAGGTGTCTAAATTCATAAAGGAGGCATTTAAAACAATGCAGAAAGATATAACACACATCAGACACAACAAAATACCACAGGACAAAACAACGGTGATGGTGATGATGATAATAATAATAATTATCATTATTATTACTTTACTCCAGAAAAACGAAAATTAACCTACGCTCAAATTCACTCTTCAAGTCATCCGACAGCAGCATATATGGGTAATAGCCAGAATAATCCATTATACTTCTATCAGCTCCTGATGATAGACAAGAAAAGCGGAAAAAACGAACAATAAATAAATACACAAACAATCAGATGCTTTATCACATGATTCCCAGTATACGTGACAGTTTTACTTCATAACTTGTCAAACAGAGACAGTGTGAGAGAGAGATGGTGCACCGCCACATTATGCCCATTCATCAACTGAAAAAGAGAAGTAATTCTGTCAACATATTTTATCCATGCCGTGTCACAATAACAGTAATAATAACAATAATAATGATAATCATAACAGAGCTACTTAATCAATCAGTCAGTACACGTATTTCCACATGCTCGATAACGGAGTCGGAAATCATATTTCAAGACATCTAATCATATCCATAAAGTTCGAATCCAATTAGAAGTCATTTGAACTCAATCAATCAGAAGAGATTTCCCATCTACCAAACCATGAACCATACGTGTTTTATAACGGATAATGATATTATCCAATAATGACCAACGCTCGAGTAGACAGAGTAGGACTCAAAGCAGCAGACCAACAGATGCAAGTCAAATCCTAATGCCAATGAGCCACACCTCCAACGTATTAATCAACGAAAGTCGTATGCTCAAACTTCTGCCTTACCTCCTACTTGAATAGTTTTCTTACATCCACACACACCAGTGTTACATCATCTTTTAGTCTGACTAAGCAGATAAGTGATCAGTACTATCTGCAAAATAATACCTCTTATGATTTCGGAAATATAACACACCTGTATTTATGATGTTTCAATACACAACTAAAAACAATTACCTCATAAACTTTAATATCATGCAATCCACATCCATATAGTTGAACTCTGTTAGGCCTACGGTGATTTAACCAATTGAGAAATATACTCACAATCTGCTGACTTGTCAAACACTCACTACTACACAGTGTACTCACAACTCAGTTAGTTAACCAACAAAAGACGAATACCCTCAACTTAGTCATCAGTCACAAGATCCCAATGTGTGTCTAAACAACAGACTTAGTGATGAATGAATTAGGTGTCAGGAAGCAGATTTTTATCATGAAATTATCAAATAATTTACACTTACTATAATCTTCTATTAAAACCCTGATAATAGCTCGCTGTGAATGAACAGCTGCAATGTGCAATGGCGTACGTCCCTAAAGAAAAAGTCACAATAGCAAACATTCTCAATTAATACAACTGAAACATGGGTGGAAGTGAATTTGCCCATCACTGTACACTGAACTACTACTAATTAACGAAAAGCATCTAAAGAAGTGAACTTCAAGTCTACAAGTCAAAATAACCAACTCCTTGTTGAAGTTGTTTGTCTTAACCGCAAACACACACACACCAACTAGATTCCGTTCAAACACTCCGTCTCCAGTTGAAACCTTACAGCTAGGCATCATATCACATGATGCATGCATTCACATCAATCGACAGCAGCCAACCTAAAACACCTTCACATTGCTTCGCAGACATGACCTTACACAACTTTAAACTACCTGTATAATGCATAACCAAAGTATTTCATTTGATTATGATGATGATGATAGCTGGAAATGGACACCAGGATACGCACTTCCCTCTATGTGGGATCATCAGATCGAGTCAACTCCAGCCCTCCACACAGTGATGCTCATCCCATCTAAGACTTGAACTTACTACACATCACTTCAAGAATGAATAAAATAAGGATGTATAAACAAACTATTGATACCGTATAGGCAAATACTTAAACCACATATGAGACTACAAAACTCACATAACACCTGCATAGTCTACGTTGCATGATATCAAGCTTTTCAGTTTCATACAGACTAAACTGTCAACATCGTCAGTATAGTCTTATCTGTTTAAGAAATATGAAAACACCTTTTCATCACTACGTTGTGGTATATACATCTTCCTTTAGCAGGATAAAACGCTACACATGAACCAAATCACATGAAAAGACAAAAAACACATCACTATAAGCAACAAGAAAGTAAACAGGCATAATAAACTCACGCTCTGCACCGACATGGATCACGTCAATTCGTCACGAGAAATTCATTATGCAGATGGACAGAAATAGAAGAAATTATTCAACATATTACTATAAAACAAAACACGTAGTTCAGCGAAGAGTCTCTTTCCGCGAATTCATTTTCTTAGCTGTACGGTCGCAAATATATATATGTTATTTTGCATGTATGTGCACATTAAGTTTGTCAAACAAAATTACAATTGGTTATGGTTATTTTAACATAACGGGTGAAGATTGGTAATTGGAATTACATAATACAAAATCAGTCAAGAAAATTAGGTGTTAATGAAGCCAGGTACATCGGTCGTTCGACGCCCATCCTGTTCAAAAGGATTCAAGAACACTATCCAGCATAGTGGCGAAAAGGCAATAGTGGTGCAATAAGGAGTGCGATAATTGAACACCTGGTTAACACTGATCATTCCATCTTGACAAACGTCACCCTCAAAGTAACCTACAGAGTCAAGAATAACCTATCAAAGGCAATACGGTTTCGTCTTCTCCGTATCGCGGTAGCTCTGGCCATTCACATAGAAAAACCAGAGCTGTGCATACAAAAGAGACTTACGCAACCACTTCTACTTTCATGGTAACAAGCTTGTTGATTTTTATGACCTAATTTTGTTTGTTTGCCTGTTGTTTAATTGCTTATAATTCTTGTATTCATTTAGAAATCTTACGTAATTTCGTATTATCTACTTTGTTCCTATGTGTATCCTGAGTAAAACTCACTCATCAAACTATTCATATTATTACGTAACTTCTTTCAACAACTGTTTGTGACGACTCATGACCTTTGCTACTACCCTAATTTCACTAACACCTAATTTTCTTGACTGATTTTGTATTACGTAACTCTAATTACCAATCTTCACCCATTTAGTTAACATAACCATAACCAATTGTACTTTTGTTTTGTTTGATAAACTTAATGTACACATACATACATACATACATACACATATATATTTGCGATTGTACAACTAAGGAAATGAATTCGCCGAAAAGAGACTCTTCACTGAACTACGTGTTTTGTTTTCATTAATGTCTGGATAAAGATAAGCCATGAATATTACTATAACACACACATACCTACATATATATGTACATAATTCACTTGCCATACTTCAAAAACTACAAAGATTTCAGTCAGACAAACCAAGCGTATACCTCTAAGCATACTTTCAACACAACAAAATGCAGAAAATAGGCAAAATATAAACATACTTGGTGTACTACATTCAAAACACGTAAACTGCAAGTTTCGACAACATCAAAGATTAACTACTCTATCCCACTTATCAGTAGATTAACTTTTAACAATAAAACTTTCCTGCCAGTCACGGATCACAGTAGGACATGTGTGGTGATATATTCGACACCTTTACTGCAATTTAACAGACACACATGTCACTGTGAATGACTATCGAAATAGGCAGGTGTGTTTCATCCCATCGAGGCACACCAATCAAAAACAATCAAAAAACGATGGATATTTTGATGCATAGAAAAGTGTACAAAATATCATAGGCGGATAACCACATGCAGACTCTACCTTCGATTTACACAATCAACCACACGATTAGTACATGTATACATGAAATTGGTAAACAAGTGTATGTACCTAACCCCCCCCCACACACACACACCCAACCAACCACCGTAAAACTTGACTAAGACTCTTGTAATTTCATTTGTTACACTACTCGACTTCTAACACTGTTTCACTCACTAACGCATCGAATAAATCTCACAGACAAAGGCAGTATATGTCGAATACCACCAATAGTGTGTAGCCATACCTCTAAGAACACACAAACAACAACTTACACAGAACATGATAAGTAGAATTTTCTCAATTCCCATGAGACGCATACTCAACATAACTAAAGCATGAAGCGCCGTAGACACTCATCATAATCGAATGTCAAATCATGTCATGATACAATACATTGCACAACAACTGGTCGATAAACACTGAACAGTCGGTCACCAGTGACACTGACAACAACGATTACCCTCCAGAAAATGAATATTCTGAATACATCATCATGCAACATGTTCATTGAATCACAAAACTAAGATTGTACCACCATTACTCTACTCATAATAAGTATAAATCGTGTTTGGCAGAATACAACTATTCATACAAAAAGTGTGTTAAATAATTCTCGACTATTCCAATTCTAGTAACATTCAAGTCGAACACATACAGACAAATATGACCTAATGGATTATTACTATCGTTATTATTATTAATCACCCTTTGTTTATTTGACTGGTTAGCATCTACAGCAGACTAGTGAATGAAAATTTTAAAAAACTAAGTGTGTGCATCTGAATTCACAAATCTAAAGGTCATGTCTAATTCAGTATAAATAAATAAATAAATAAATAAATAATTCAATATTTTCATATATGAAGACAAATTACACACATCAACGTTACAAACAAGTGTAGAAGAGTAATTCAATGCTCAATATGAAGTCCTAGTGAAATTACTGACACCCCACAGTCTCATAATATAAATTCTGCACAAAACAAACCATCGTCGATAGACTGAGATTAGCCTTAGAATGCAGACGACAACGATTGAAATCCACAACACAGTGATCGAGTGACAACATGTACTCTGATTCAATTTTCCAAAACAAAAAGCGTGACCAACCACTACACTTCACTTCATATTTCTTCCAAGTATTTTTCACCTCACAATGAAGGCTACTTTATAATGAATCAATATGAACAAATCGTCCAACTACGCTCCAACCAATTCACACACACACACACACACACGAAAGCTACACCTGCAGGAATAGCAAGCATCTAGTCTAATTCTATGTAGTCTGAGTTATGACAAGAACCACGCGTAGGAGGCTACAACTTCTATTCACTTCAAATCGATTATCATTCCTTCCTTGGGTTCCACCGATTGGAGCACAGGTCTTCAGTGGCACTTTTCTACTGTCTCACATATGTTTTCTGGCACCACTTTCAACTCGATCTACGACTGCAAACACACTGTCACTCCACCCTCACTTGATATTCACTATGTCACGTCCCTACACATACACACACACAATCCTTCGCATCCAATTTGCACTCCACTCAACCGAATATTGTTTGGGTGTCTTCTCAGTGTACTTCCAATCCATACCCATTTCTTCCCGTAAATTTCTTTGGCGATAGGTTACAACCAAAGTTCCGTCTCGCTGGCCATTTCATCTTCACTCTCAAAACAGCGTGCATGTTGATAGTAGTCCACAACCTATCGGAAACACTTTCCGTGATCGCATATCACCATTGACAATTACGATCTTGCCACTTGTGCTACTCTATGTGGACATTCATAATCATTCATAATCTTACCTTACTTATCCTGATACATACAAACAAAATCGAAGATCTCCTCTCATCTAATACACTTCCAATCAATCTGACAATTTTTAAAGCTCACCGGCCCGCCCGCCTATCTGCCTGCTTAACCAACTAACTATAACACAAGTACAAGAACACAAATCTCATTATTCAACACACTTTATGCATTGAATATGTCTGTCATCCACAATGTGAATGAAACGCCACCACCACCCTAACGGTAGTAAACAAGCTCGAACACACACACACACAAACGCACAGTTATATACACTCGAGAATACAGCTGAATCGAAAAGAGAATAAGTGGACAGTAAAACTAGAATGTGGTGACCACAGAAAAACACACAGAGGGAGGAGAGACAGAGCGTGGTGGTGGTGGTGGTGGTGATCATTAGCAGTTCATATGACTAAACTTGAATGAGCTAAAACGAAAATTTTCATGCATAAGTAAGTAGTAGGCAGTGATGCCGTGATGCGTAACACCACAAAAAGTTAGTAGTAGACGAGTTCACACACACACACACAAACACATAACTACACCATTATGCGAATAGTCACGGAATACGAAAACACCACAGAACGAAGACAAGTGTATAACTCAGCTAAGTGAAATGCAATCGTGTAAGCCTATTTATTATGTTACACCATAATGATAACAGATCAATGAGAGAACAAACAGTCACTTATGTGAAGTCCGAAGTAGAGTAAACTTCATGCATCCATCCAACAGTCAATGCGAAAATTGTG